AAAATAATTTGATTGGTGCATAGAATGGAATACAAATTAGTTTGTGGTTATTATTTTGTTTAGTGGGTAGTTAATATAAAATTTGTTCTAAATTAATTATCATATTTCATTCTTTTTATCGAAATTTCCAAATGATTAACAATAGAGGTGATTCTAGCGCTCGGCGGCCGCTGCCGCGGCACGCTTCGCTCGCCTTCGCGCGTTAAGGGTCACTGTTCTAACCTAACCTACTATTTTCTGCAATACCTACTTTCTGCAATCATACTATTTTCTGTAAGTATGTGAAGTGTCAATTTGACCAAACAAATTATTTGGGATATACATATAATATTTGGCAAAATAAAACATTTGCTTTATAAACATTTGCCAAGTAAAATTTAGCCAAATGATAATTTGACCAAATGAATTAGTTGCGAAAAGTACAGTTGCTAAAAGTTCATTTGGGAAATGAAACTTTGGCGATAAGTTGTTTGCGAAGTGAAATTTGGCGAAAAGTGATTTGGCCAAACGGAAGGATATCGGCGTCCTTCTTTTGATAAATGTGAATAGTTAATAATAATGTTTCAATGCAGTTCTATTTCTTTTCAAAAAATGAATGTTTTCTTTCAATAAAACTTTCTATCTACAGTATTAACAGTACTTTCCCTCCAGATGGTATTACAAAAAATTATATACAGAAAAATTCGACACTGCGATGCAGGATTATACGCGCGGTGGAGTACGCCATAGTAAGTTCGTAACAGCGCCATCTGTTGGTGCACTAGTTTGTAGTGGCGAATCATATGTCGCCACACACATTTAGTAATAGTCTGGTCTGCGAGCACGTAGAATTTTGTCCAATGACCCCAAGCTACCCATCCTTATCGCTCGCACGTAATTATGTTGCTGTCGCGCTCGCACACTCACTGCGGGCGCCCGTCGCACAGTCGCGACAGCAATATAATTACGCGCGAGCGATAAGGATGGGTAGCTTGGGGTCATTGGACGAAATTCTACGTGCTCGCAGACCGGGCTTTAGAACCGAGCTTACCCAGATGCGGCGCGCCTCGCGTTTGCTCGAACAAGCATTCGGTGAGCTTGAACCGCTCGGGGCCGAAGTCCTGATGGTAGCCGCCCGGGAACTCGTAGTGCACGCCCGGGACCGACGCCGCTGTGCGCTCGTCGTAAGCACTTTCTGACACCTAGGGGTTCAATGAAATAAAAACGTTTACTATCCGTTCGCTTTAAGTTTGCCACTGGCGATATGACATCACTCGAAGGGGAGCGTCTATAACTTTATCAAACTATATTTAAAATATTTATTATTATTGATAAAATTTGTATATTTGCGTAAAATAAGACACATTAATTGCGTTTAATCACTAACTAATTGCGTTTAATCGCGGCAAACTTAGCGCGAACGGGTAGTATCAACTATAGATCGTTTCATCCACGAAGCCGCGCCCCACCTATGTCTGGTCGAGTAAAACGCAACCATCAAAAACAATACTTGTCAAAAAAACCAAGTCTCGCAACTCAGTTGTTCTACGGTAAAAAGTTGTGAGATCCATGTAATACCAAGTATTATTGACTTGGCCATCGCACTAAATAATTTAATTTACACGTGTTTTCATGCGATGGCCAAGTCAATATATTTATGTAAAACGTTAAAGATTTCCTGGCCTGGACTTGGTATTACATGGATCTTACAACTTTTTACCGTAGAACAACTGAGTTGCGAGACTTGGTTTTTTTGACAAGTATTGTTTTTGTGGGGATCTCATTTCTTTTTGTATTTTGTAGACAGCAGTTATGTATCTAGAAAACTGGAAGTGAGTGACAAAATTAAGTAACTTTGACCCGTTATAGTTCTTAAACTACTGGTTCAAATTGAATGAAATTTTAAATATACCGTGTCTTTACAATGCCTGCATAGCTAATGAAAATTCAGCCTTCTAGTTTTATCCACAACGAAGTTACAGGCGGTCGAAAATGGCCTGAATTGCTTCGAGAAAAGGATGGTACGGCCGTGCTGCTTTTTTGCTCGACTTGGTGGGGGCACTGCCGTGCCCCCAGATGCGTGATGCCATCGCCGTCACTTCAAACAAAACCGTTTTTTGCAACTATATGATAATTCAGAGGCACGTAGTGGCACGCTAAAAATTTGAACTAAGATATTTTCAGATTTTACGTGAGTGAAATCGTGGATGTTTATGAGAAACAGTGCTTCAAAAACGTGATTGATTTATAATTGATTGTACAAAACAGTGAAATAATCTTATAGATGACCCACGCTGAACTGTCCCGCCAAACTCAATGACAGGGGGGCGCTACCATCGTTCAACTATATGGTTTCCAACATGGCAAAAATCGGAGCTAGCGATCCGGTATTGACGGTGGCGCCCCACTGTCAATGTCATGCATAGGACAGTTCAGTATTTTGGAACTATAACACTAACACACAAATGACATCTAGTGTCATCCAAAATCGGTTTCGTTTGACGGCTCGTGGTTGCTGCTCTATTCGGAAGGAATATTAAATTTATGGTTTAATAAAGAACAGTCTAACCAGTGTGACGCAATGACAGAAGTCCTCATACTGTCGCTTCAGCATGTACTGCTGCCACGAGTGAGTGAGACCAGTTGGCAGCGTCATGATTTACAAATTAGATTTTTAAAATATGTAAATAAAACATCTATCACATTCTATCAACCCTAAAAAACTCGTACACATAGATATACAGGGTGGAAACGATAAGCTAGAAACATTGAATTTTCGGATAGCTCCAATTTATTCTGTAACCTTTTATTGGTACCGTTTGAAAGAGCTCGTGAAGCACTTTCAGGATCTGAAACCAGTTTTTTGATATCTTGTATAGTTTAGAAATAATCGAGTGAGATCACTTATCGTTTCCACCCTGTATTAAATAAAACAACAGTCTGACCTGTGCGATGCAGTGACAGAAGTCCTCATACTGCCGTTTCAGCATGTACTGCTGCCACGAGTGAGGCCTCAGCCTCGAACTTAGCGGGCAGCGGGGCGGCGGCGGCGGCGGCGCGGGAGCGGGGCGGGCAACGCAGACCCGTTCTCGAAACAAGCGGGCAGCTCGCGCGGCGCTTTAGCGGCGAAGTGTTGTGTTCGGGGTTGTGTTGTCGAGATATTTGTTTTTATTCGCGAACGAAATGTCTGAACAACGGCGACAATTTTATTTCGATTCAAATTTATTCCTTATGCTCGATTTATTGTGGGCAAAAGAAGGAGTGCGCTGCCCGCTCGTTGCCCGCTCCCTCGCCGCTGCCCGCTCGTTGCCCGCTCCGGCGCCGCTGCCGCGACGCTGTTTTCGAGAACCGGTCTATTTGATTTTACGCATAAGATCCTGCCGCTCCCGCCCCGCCGCCGCTCCCGCGCCGCTGCCCGCTAAGTTCGAGGCTGAGGCCTGAGTGAGGCCGGCAGGCAGCGTCATGATTTACAAATTTGATTTTTAAAATATGTAAATAAAACATCTATCACATTCTATCAACCCTAAAAAACAGGTACACATAGATATACAGGTTGGAAACGATAAGCTAGAAACATTGAATTTTCGGATAGCTCCAGTTTATTCTGTAACCTTTGAAACCGCCGTTTGAAAGAGCTCGTGAAGCACTTTCAGGATCTGAAACCAGTTTTTCGATATCTTGTATAGTTTAGAAATAATCGAGTGAGATCACATATCGTTTCCACCCTGTATAGAAGGGAACAAACAGTCTGACCTGTGCGATGCAATGACAGAAGTCCTCATACTGCCGTTTAAGCATGTACTGCTGCCACGAGTGAGTGAGACCGGCGGGCAGAGTCTTCAGCGTGTAGCGCGCCCTCTCTCTCTCGCGGATCACTTCTTTGCTCTGTGAAGTACATAATAATAAATAAATATTCTTACGCGCGTATTCACAAACAAGCTCAACGACGCCCGGTCTCACAGTGCGCGTGGACGCACAGGGTGACACACGAACCAATCACAGAGATTCAACGCTTTGCGTTCGATTTTCTGCTTTACTTAAGTGTGAATACGGGCGTTAAACATCTTATCCCAAAGCAAAGCTTGTACAATCAGCGTCAAATCGTTCATGATACCCAAACTAGTCAATAAGTTTACAAGATGTTTTTGTTACAATGGAGAAGTTTCCAATTTTTTATTTTAATAAAACTTGAAAATATAAGTAAAACTAATAATAATTGTGAAAGAATCATGAAAGTATCTCTACAAATAAAGAAGTTATAGGGCCCTAAAGTTGCGCATAACAAATATTTCGCGCCATTTGATCGATAGTGTCATTCTCGACAATGCGAGCAGGTGGCCTGACGTCACGGCACCGCCTGTTTAAGTTCCACACGAAAAAAATAAAACCGACTCCAAAAAACCTACACTAAAAAGCATAATAATAATTACTAATTACCTACTTATTTATTAGGACGAATTATTAATATTTATGTANTGGGTGGTACCAATAAAAACAAAACAACTGTACACCTACGGGTTTACGAAGCAATCACAGACAGCGCGTTCCGTTCAATTTTTGTTGTTATGTTACAGGCACAGATTACTTATTTGTTACAGGTACCCTTAGATTAATAAAACCTTTTTATTAATCTAAGCAGGTACCTACCAAAGGTACCTACAATCAGGCAACTTATTTAAATATGTATCAATGCTGGCAATTTTGTAATCGGCCAAAAGACAATTTATTAATATTTGTTGATTGAAATTAGAAATTATTACGTGTTCACATTAGAAATTGTCATTTCATAAATCAAGGTAGACCGGCCGGAAACAACCAGTCCACAGATTTATGCACAGAAAACGGATTTATGTCTATGGCTACCTAACGGAAGTTCATAAAATAGAGCTGCGTTCATCAGTAATTTTATTTTTATTCATTGGCATGACGAGGGAGACTTTCATAAAATAACTGCCCCTCTAGCCTCTACTCTAGCTCATCCTTAAGAAGTTAGAAAAAGGTGACAGTCGCCTTACGGAGCGAATCAAAAATACGCCGGAGCGAAAGGATTTCGGAATTAAAACTGTCTCGCAAGGAACATAATTTAAATAACCCTCTTTCTTTGTAACTTGTAGGTAAAAAAAAACATGCTTCACATTATGTTTTATTAATACAAAATCTAATCTAATATGTCACCTTGACTCCCCTTTTTTTTTTTTTTTTTTTTTTCCCGCTGAAGCGCCCAGGGCGCCACGCAGTGATTCTGCCAATGTCAAGTAGTTAGAGAGATACACGTGACTTTTGATTATTGGCCGGTATTTAATATGTGGGTATCTGTTAAACTGTTTTTGGTTTAATAAAATACCTTTATATTAAATTATAATATCTTTGGAGAATGCCCACTTTTTCCTATTTTCAGTCCCACAGATTATACAAAGTGTCAAATAACAAATTCCGTCCCCGTCCCGTCCCGTCAGTCAATTTTGTCCGTCAGATTTTTGGGAGAGTAAATTGTGTATTTTAATGAATTCTTGCCTGATTAAATTTATATCACATTGTTTTGTGTAAGAAAGACATGCATCATGATTCATTTAATGCAAAAGGTTATAATGTTTTCAATTCTGACACTCGTATCAGTCTCGGGAAGGATACATAAGTTGGTACTTTCGGTAAGTTACTTTTTGTTTTGTGCTTAAATTTTATAATAATGTGCGTAGATCTAAGCAGATCTGGTTGAATGTTTTATTAGTTTTGGATCTGTTGTCTTAGAAGTCTACAGAAAATTACATAAAAGTTTTTAACTTCAGGCATTGCGCGTACTTACCTACTACACCTGCTGCCTGTATGCTTAAATTTAAAACGTAACATATTGTTGTATTTTGCGCTTTGTTGTGTTATTAAAGTATTGTAATTCGCATGCCAAAGTTCCCTGTACTTATAAAATACGCTCCTGTTACAAACAGGCTTGTGTGCATGCTCATTCAACTGATAACTTAGATTGATAAAGCTTTGAAAGAGACAAAAATGCATTAAATTCCAGCAATTGTTTTTGTTATTGATGAAGCAGATAATATTAAATCTCTTCTACCTAGTCTCGTCTTGAAAGATATGGACTTCAAGCAATAATGAATTTTAATACATTTTTAAAATGTGTACATGTTAAGATGCAGTTATGATGATCCTTGATAATATAGGGCTACGTCCAGGATATATTATGTTTTAGATCTTGTAAAATTACTCAAATTTTTTAACAACTAGAAATCAAAGACTAACCAAAATAGTAAAGTTGTTGCATACACACAATCTAAATATACTATACAGTGTGTCCGGGCATGTAGTTATTTAACTTTAAGGGCGCAATCTATGGACAATTTTATCGAAGAAAATACTTCAAATTTGGAGATTGACCCATTTCTCGCAAAATTACAAGGATTTAAGTTTTCAATTTTTAGTTCTCACTTCTTCCTTCAAAAACAAGTGGAAGCGTGGGTAATTTAACCGTTAACTACCGACCTATACGTCTCTCAGACGTAATAAATTTTCATTTTGAAATATTTCTCAAATCACGCCACCTTTGGCGTCGCCTCTCCCGCTACCTTCCTCCCTCCGCGTCGCAAGCCACCAGTCGACTTTCCGTCCGTGGCAAGTTCATAAGTCTCTGTATCGAAGCGATCGACGTCTCACAGACGTAAGTACGGTGTTTATGTAACGAAATTTCGTACGCATAAACAAGAGCGAGATCAGTCGTAGCCGATTTTTATCCTCGCTAGTACGTGAATTAGTCATCCCAGAAATGAACTACGCGTTTACAATGATATAATCCTATCGAGCGAGTTTTAGGACACGCCAATATGCCCGAGCCTCTACCACCAAAAAATTATCTAAATCCAGATCCAGGTGTTAGAAAGACGTGTGCAATCTGTCCCGTACGGTTGAAAAGACGAACGAGTACTGTTGCTGCAAACTTAAGAAACTAATGTACCTTACTTGCTGCCTTCAAATATGTAGTGACTGCAAACGTACGTAGTGAATGTACCAATTATTCAAGTGCTGTCATTTTTTTTATATTATAACTAAGAAGTAAGATTTGTGTTTTATTTTGATAATTGTTTATAGAACATAACATATTTTAAGTTCATTCGTTGTTTAATATTGAATTTTAGAGAAAAACAAGACTAAAGTAAGTCCTTAAAATTAGGTGCCAGATAATCGTGACCTCTCAAATAACTGTTGATTTTACCTAAAAAATAACGTGTATTTTTTTGAAATCCTGTAGTTTACTTACCTCAAATAACAATCTTTTTAATGCATAAAATGAAAAACTGTAGCAGGCAAATACACTTGTAATTTAATTACTTAAATTTTTACGTCTCTCAGTCGTCACATCGGCGTAAGTGCTGCGTTTAGACCAGGTCAGCAGCTAAAGGTTAACACTAATATGCAAATATTTTATATCATGCGATAGTCAATAAAATTGTCTATTAGTAGAAGTAGAAAACAGACACAAGTTTCATTCTTTTTAAGGGGGTAAGAATGATTTAATTAGAAAAAAACATTGCTTTTCTCACTTCTTTTTCAATTATTTTCCAACACAAGAAAAACCGGGTCATTAAAGTTCTTTATTTCCATTGTTTTATTAGTATTTGAGCTATTCTACAAAACGAATGTAAATTTATTAGTCTACATCTATTATTTCGAAGCTAGTGTTGAACAAAGATACCTCTTCCCAGCAGTTTCATAGACATCCAGACATCCACACAAACTTAACTTAAGTATTGCATAAAATTTTATGCCTTATACATACCTACACTGTTTAAATGTTTTTTGAAAGCTTAAATTCATGTTCCCATTGATAGTGCTACATAACGGAATAGCAACCAAATGTTCGGAATCTGATTGGAAGATGTTTCTTTATTGCTATATGACAATTGTTAATTGATCAGCATGTCAACTATTATTGAAGACAATGAGTCATTTCAATAGCTGATATTGTGTTATTATCTTTATATTCCCTGACAGGTTAAAGGCCATCAACAACTATTCACGCTTATGTGTATGGCTCTGTTATCATGTAATTGGTTTTAATACCATTTTGTTAGGTTAAAGTTGTGTAATAAATAAAAAAACACACAATATTCTTTTTTATTAGGGTTCCGTAGTCCTGACAACGAACTAACTGTTAGTTTCATTGTTACAGGATGATGAGCGTCATTATGTGGAGCTCACAACCTTCGGCTTCTTCCAAGGAGGTATTCTTGATGTCCACATGGTCAACTTCAAGCTCCCATCAGGCCCTGTTAATGGAGAGGTTTGTCACAATATAAACTAGGCAAAATAAACTTACAGCAGTTATTCTAAAAGACCGTTTTTGAAGGAACTTATCTGTGTCTTTCTGACTTTTTTTTTTATTAAATCAGTGCCTGATAATAGTTGCATTGCAATAGTTCCTTCTAAAAACTTTTAAATACATTCTGTGAATTCACTTTGTTTAATTTTGCTTCAGTATGGTTTCACCCTGGACAGAACGGTGAATGATGTAATCAGCCCGTATCTGGAATCTCATTCAGATACATGCTTCTTGAAAGACATAGAAAACTTTGGAGTCACACCCCTACACCCTGCTATAGTCTTTCTGAAGATGGATTTAAATAAATTAAGGTATGTTTAAAACATAAGTTCTTTTTGTAAATTACAAGTTTTTTATTAACTCTAAGAGTAAGCGCACACCGTTGATTTTTCGTCGGCCGACAGTTTAGTCGGGCAGTTGATCAGTATGGGCATGTATGGGAGTGCGCACACTACGCCGATTCGATTTGGCCGATTCTTCATACAAATTAAAATCGGGCACAACTATCGGCCAACTAAAAATCAACGGTGTGCGCCTACTCTTACACCTAATGCTTGTG